AGTCCGCCCACGCCTTCTGTATAAGCTACCTGTAGGTTAAACCACCAGTTCCCCATGCCTTCTGTGTAGTTTAACCGTAGGTTAAAAAAAAAAAACAGTCCCTCCCTGCCTTCTGTATGGGTTAAGTGTAGGACCACTAGTACCTTTGGCGTCCGGTTTCAACAAGTCCTGGCCAGCACCCGAAATTTCAGGAGGCCGAGCCTGACGTTGATCAATCTGATCGGCGGCCGTCGTTTCGTTTCGGCCTCCTGAAAGGTCAGAGGCCGATTATTTTCGAACCGACAAAAAACAGTCCGCCCACGCCTTCTGTATAAGCTAACTGTAGGTTAATCCACCAGTCCCCCCATGCCTTTTGTGTAGTTTAACCGTAGGTTAAAAAAAACACCAGTCCCTCCATGCCTTCTGATTAGTTTAACCGTAGGTTAAAAAAAAAACACCAGTCTGCCCACGCCTTCTGTATAAGCTAACTGTAGTTTAAACCCCCAGCGGGCCCCATGCCTTCTGTGTGTACATTTACCGTAGGTTAAACCACCAGTCCCTCCACGCCCTCTGTCTACATTCACTGCAGGTTAAACCACCAGTCCGCCTACGCCTTCTGTGTGTAAGCTAAAAATTTTAACATTAAACCCCATCAGTCCCCTCATCCCTTCTGTGTAAATTAACCGTAGGTTAAACCACAGAAGGGATGAGGTTTAACCGAAGGACATTAAACCACCAGTCCCCATGCTTTCATTGAGTGTTACCTTCCTTAAACAACGAGTCCCCATGCCTTTGGTGTAGTAGGTTAACTGTAGCTGAAACCACCAATCACCCCATGCATTCACTGTAGGACACTGTACGTTAACTGTCGGTTAATCCAGGAGTCAATCCCCCCTAGGAATTCAGTGTATGCAAGGTAAGTGTCTACTAGGACTTAACCCAACATCTCACGACACGAGCTGACGACAGCCATGCCATGCAGCAGCACCTGTATGAAAAAGTAAAAGTACATCTCTTAGGTTGGATTGGATGTCAATCTGTGGAAGCACCCACCCTATGTAACTATTGGACAAATTGCATCAGTTTTTTTTTTGTTTTTTTGTTTTTTCCCCTTATACTTCGCAATTACGCCCTTTCTTGGAAAACTAGAAGCTAAGCTACTGGTGCATTCCATAGTGGTCGCCTCAATCCACTTATCACAATCACATCCATTCAGTCACCGATCAATTTGTCCCATCCAGTCGTGTACGTCTGATGGGCCTCAGCAGTTCCGCCGCTCGCCAAATGTGTAAAATAGTGAAATGTACCTCGCCCATAAAATTGGACTTATACACACAACTTTTCAATTTTGTCGAGTGGTCCAGCACGGCCTTATGTACTGCCATCCATCCATCCATCCACCCATCCAGCAATCCATCCATCCAGCAATCCATCAGCATGGTCATCAGCTCATCAATCCATCAATCAATCTAACACATCAACCCACCGATCTATTTATCGATCAATCATTTCCTCAATTCCTCAATCAATTCATCATTCAATCAAACACATCCATCCATCCATCTCATCCGTCCATCCATGCATCCATCAATCAATCAATTCATCAAGCAATCTCTCAATCAAGCAATCAGCTCAAACAAGCAATCACGCCATCCACTATCAAGTCATCAACCATTTCAGTTCATGCATCCATCAATCAATCAATTCATCAATCCATCAATCAATCAATCAAGCAATCAATCAAGCAATCAAGCAATCAGCTCAACCAATCAATAAAGTCATCAACGAGTTCAGTTCATGCATCCTCCCACTCATTGCATTTATCCATCCAAGCACACCTTGTAGCAGGGCAGAGAGCAATACCGAAGATTACAGCGAGGACAAGAGTACTTGGAAAACTGCTTGTGACATCTGCACCACGTGGGCAACAACAAGAACAACAACAACAAGATGGATGCCACGTCATCTCCTGGGTGGGCATCTTGAATCTTGACACGTCAAAACTGCTAGTATTTTCATCATTTGCATCAGTTAAAAAGCTCTTCTCCCCATCATGGACCACTCCCTCCCGTCTTTCCCCCCTCCCTCACCCCCCCTCCTCCTCAAATAGAAAGCACGCTCATTACAAGTTGCCCCAAATATAGCTATCATATACAACTACCGTGCGTTCTATTCGGGGGAAGACGGCAACATCAGACACTAACCCACTCACTGTTGCAAACCGCTACGTCAGGTCTCAGATCGCGGCAATTGATATGACCGCATGACAATTGGCCCAACGGGCCAATGGCAGCAGGACACGTGTCACAGTGTGAGAAGATGACGTATCATCTCCTGATGCTGCTGTACGACAAGGACACATCGACAGTCGTAAGTTATCGTGTTGCGTGGAAAAGAAAGACCCTTCAGTTTCTTTTCACCCAAGAATGGCCATGCCTTACCACCCATAGAATCACAAAAAGGCTCAATCTGTCAATCCCCCCCTCGTGGGAGAGGGAGGGCGAGGGAGGCAGAGATAGGGAGAGAAGGAGAGAATGAGAGAGGGAAAGAGGGAGAGGGAGGCAGAGGGAGGGAGAGGGAGAGAGGGAAAGAAGGAGAGGGAGAGAGAGCGGGAACAGGGGAGAGGGAGAGAGAGGCAGGGGGGACAGGGGAGAGGGAGAGAGAGGCAGGGGGGACAGGGGGAGAGAGAGGAAGAGTGGAGACAGATGAGAGAGGGTAAGAGGGAGAGGGAGAGAGAGCGGGAACAGGGGGCGAGAGACCTGTCTCTTATACACATCTAGATGTGTATAAGAGACAGACCACAGGCTGCGTGCCTCACCTTATGAGTCCCCAGTTTCAGCTGTACCCAAAAAGGGAGGAATGCTAAGGATGTGCATTGACTGTTGTGGTTTCGATGCCAGCACCATGCACAAATGTTGAGCCCCGACTTGCCACGACAACCTCTCCACGGAGCCCCTACTTACCCTGCACCCTGGAGCGAGTACACCACGACAACTGTTGCGGAAAGCTACAGGGTGCAGGGATGTATTCGCTCCAGCGAGACAGATCTGCTGTCCAGGTGTCGTTCGTTCCACAGGTCAGACCCGAGGATCAGACCAAAGCGCCTTTCAGACCAGGTTTGTCTGTATCAGCTTGTGGTCGGATTGCGTCTGTATAATACCGTCCTCTGCTCAGCCGCCATCCAACCACCTACGGAATCGCAGTGGAAAAACATCATTCCTGAATCTAACCGCCATTAGACATCATGTTCGGAGACATCAAGTTGCAATGAGTCGCTAAAATTTTGTTAAGTATGGCCCCCCAAAAGTACTGAAAATGAAAGAAAAGTCTGATGCAAATCAGAAAATAAATACTGCATGGCTGCATTCCAGATGATGGTGGGCCTGGCTCCACTAATCTCCACATGCACAAAAGCTTTGTATCTTCCCATGTTCTGCTGCAGGATTCATTCTCGTTTTGCAAATTTGGGGAGTAGTGCAGCGAGGCCCAGAGCTTGGGATTGATTGTCAGAGTCTGTTGTGCCCGAACGGGACGTAGCGCAACAACCGACACCGCAGCATTTCAGTTCCTCAATTGTCTCCCACATTGTAGGGAGCAATCCTCCTCTTTTTTTTTTCGACAATCCACCCAGCTCGCTAGTAGAGGTGATCCTGACGGCTCCTTTTATCTGGTGTAACTCCCGTCCCATCTCCGTCCTCACCCTGTTTATCGCGCGTCCAAACTCTCGCCTTTATTGTATTTCTTTCTGAAAGCGATCAGCTTTCTTTGCTGCAGACCGATGCTCAGAGAGTGAAGGCTACAACAATATTGTTTGAATTGTGGAGCACGGCGAGATGCTTGTGCAGCAGCCACTGTGCAAGGACGGACTACCGAAGCCACAGATGCAGCTAGGAGTGGCTTTCACGGGTCATCGGGATCCTAAGGGATATCGGTCGTTCACAAGGAGAGTATTTTTTTGAAAAAAAAGAAAAGGAGAGTACCTCAAACACTTCTACACTACAAGAAAGGTCTTCAATGGAAGCAACGACATTTTTTTTTTTTTTTTTTTTTTTTTTTTAAGTAAGGTGGTTCCACTCTATATTGCTGGGGAGCTGCACGACAAAACATTAAGGGTTCTGCAGACGGAGGGCTCTGAACCTAAGGGAGTGGGAGTGCAAGGGCCCAGGCCTTGGGGCCACCTAGCAGGGGCAATCCGCATCGTACTCACCTGGTCAACTTGAAGGTGAAGGTACAGTAATAAAATCGGGCGCTAAGGGAAGAGATCCAGTTGCGTAAAAAAAACGGATGGGCATTGAGGTAATAGCCCTGGCATCTGGAAGCCGGATAAGCTGTCTGGAAGCTGATTTCACTGGAAGGGTCCAGTCCGCGATGACGCTACTGCACCCTCCCACATTTGACAAAAGGGTTGGAGGCGGCTGCTGAGGGAGAAGCTTTCGTTTCACAAGTTGCTGGCCAGCGGCGCTAAAAATGGCAGAGCTCGAAGAGCCAGGAGGGCGTTGACGAAGATGACAGAGCAGAGCTGCCACGGTTAAGCCCGTGCCAGCAACAGCCATAGCTGCGCACGATGGCTCGATGAGGAGGCGCTGGTGTTTGGGCAGAGAGGGAAGAGGTCAGCTATGCGAAGTGGTACCTACTTGATGATGGGTGATGAGCACACATGACGTGATCAGTCTCTGAGGCGTCGTTGGGCAAGCAGAAGAGTGGACGAAGAGAAGCGAGAAGAGGGTCAAGTGGGGTAGAGCATAGAGTCAGTAGGGAAGTAGTATTGTCAGTTACAGCATAAGGGAACAGTAGAGCTGTTGTTGTATTGACGATTGGAGTCCGAGTAGTACACACACACACACACACACACNGAAAGAGAAAGGGGAAGGGGAAGGGGGAAAGAGAAGGGGAAGAGGGAGAGAGAAAAGGGAAAGGTAGGGGGAGAGAGCGGAAAGGGACGAAAGGAGAGGAAGGGGAAAAGAAGAGAGGAAGGGGGAGAGAGCGTAAGGGGGGGTGGAGGAAGTGGCAGAGAGGAAGGGAGAGAGGGGGAGAGATGAAGAGAACGGATGAGGGAGGAAAAGGGAGAGAGAGCAAAGGCGGGAGAGGAAGGGAGAGAGAGACGAAAGGAAGGGGAAGGAGAGAAAGAGGAAGGAACAGAGAGGAAGGGGAGGAGAAAAGAAGGGGAAGAGAGGGAGAGGAAGGGGGCGGGAAAGGAAGGGGTACAAAGAGAGGTATGGGGAGAGAGAGAAGAAGGGTGAGAGAGAGTGAAGGGGGAGAGAGACAGGAAGGGGAAGACAGAGGAGAAGAAGGGGAAGAGAGGGGAGAGAAAGGGGGAGAGAGAGGAAGGGGGAGAGAAGACGGGCAAAGGAAGGAGAGAGGAGAGCATTTCAAGTAGGAGGAGAACAAGAGAGATGAGAAGCAGCTGATAGAGTCATGGAATCACGTACACTCTGCAGACTGACGATTCGATCGGGCCACAAAGGACAGCATCTCCTTCTCGAAGACGAAGCCCGACAGCTCCTTCACCTCCACCTCCACCTCCACCTCCTCCTCCACCTCCTCCTCCTCCTCCTCCTCTCTCACCTATCATGGCGAGAGATCTTTCCGTTGACAATTCCTGCGACAGCAGGTAGGTTTCTATTCGACTTCCCCCCCTTTTCTCTCCTCTGTGCAGATTTGCGTCTCCACCGGCTTGTGAGCCACTGCACCTTCGGGGGTACTGTATATTAGGATCACCTTTATGCCTGCATCTGGACGCATGTATGACCAGATTCGTCGAGGGAAGACTATAGCCAACGTGAGTATGTCTTAGGAATTCATCCCCTCCGCTCTCCCTCCGCTCCGACTCTTTCTGCTCTTGTCGAGAATGTTTTTTTTTTTTTTTTTTTTCAAAGAGCTCCGATCTATTTGTGGGGAGCGACACTTGCTGGGAATCGGCGGAGACGGATTTCAGACAAACAGAAGTTGTGCCTGAGATTCACACTCGCACTGACCTCTGGCTGGCTATAACAACAGCAAGGACGTGACCTGGAGCTTAGCTCCGCGAAGCGCGCCAAGAACACACGGCTTAGCTCGGCCATCGATAATTGTGGGGGCTGAGAATTCAGGGCGTACTCAGACAAGGGCCTTTTTTCGACTCAGCTCTGGATGTGATTGCGGTCAGATGCATCCACGTCGGTCGTCAAAGCGGCCAGATACGTCCAGAACACTACTACGTGAGTATGCCCTCTCGGTTGCACTGTATCTTTGACGGACGGACGGACTACAGCAATGGCAAGGACGTGACCTATACATTAGCAGGGCGAAGCGCACCATCAACAAAAGGCTTAGCACGCCCTACGTACATCTCAGAGAACGACAATGAGCTAGGCCACCAAGATAGCCATTCTCTTTTGCTCTTTTTTTTTTACCACAAGTACCTCCGAGCCTGTTTTTGCCGACCCTAAATTATAGTGCGCCGAATTTGCCGAGCCTGTGTCCCGCTTCTGGTTTTTCTTTTTCTGTGTGTTTGGAATCGGACCGTTTTCACTTGTGGCGTTGTCGGCCTCCGGTACGGTCCGACGAACCGACACACTTTAGGGCGGGGTCCCTGTGGCTGGTGGCATTGTCTTTTTTTTTTTTTTTTTTTTTTTCGGCCTGTGAGGGGCGTGTTGGTTCACCGGTGACTGGTACTGCGGATTGGAGGGCCGTGACCGTCCGCTCGTGGAGCGACGGACGGACGACGACGGTTGCCATCGCCAATGGCACATCCCGACCTCCTATCCTGTGTGTGTGTGTGTGTGCGTGTGTGTGTGTGTAGGGCTGTGTTTTATCAATCCCCAATCCGTTCAGCCAATCGACGTAGCAGATGACATCATGTCTTTCCGACGATTGGTTGTCATGTGTGCATGCCACGAAGTTCACACATGCGTCCCGCCGATTGTCTCTCTCTCTCTCTCTCTCTCTCTCTCTCTCTCTCTCTCTCTCTCTCTCTCTCTCTCTCTCTCTCTCTCTCTCTCTCTCTCTCTCTCT